AGGGGAAAATCTAAGGAAAAGGAGTAGAACATTGAGTTTTAACACACCATGTGTGTGCACGCATGATTGTTTAAGCCCTTACATTTATATTGATTTCATAAAGGACAGTATCAATGTAAAGTGTAACAAGGCTATATAAGTGCTTCCTCAGCCTTCTAAAAATATATCAAAATGTAGACTTTTTTTCTATTTCGATTTTGTAAGCAACTACATGGAATCCTTATAACTTTAATAAACAGCAAAACTTGAAAAGTTACTTTTTTTGATGAAATTATTTTATATCCTGCATTGCTTCATTGAAGACTAAGGAATTTAGACTTTAGAATCTTGATGAGGATAAGTTATGTATGAAAGAATAGTGCTAGTTGGGATGCTATAAGAAGGTCAAGTAGACATTGACTTGTCAAAAACAGCAAATACAACCAACATTAAATAAGAAAGGAAACCTTACATTTTCTGGCCTATTGTGTCCCCCAAAGACAGGATCATTTGCAACTATAATATGAAAGTGTCTTCAGAGAATTTTTTCACTATTAATTGGAGAGTTTATGTGAATGAGTTTTAGGTGCAAATAATTGAGAATTTCAATAAATGTCCTGTGCATCCAATGAGAGTGTCCTCTGTCTCTCTGAGAGGAAGCATCTTCCAGGTCTCACGCCCTCTCTGCAGACACCCTTGCTCTGGCTTTGATAAAGGTTCAGAGAATGCAGTTTCTCTTAAAAACAATCTGCAGCAAATTTTGACCCAAAAATCTGGGGAAAGTTCTGATGCTGAAGCTTTTAAATTAGATATTTTCTTGGTCAACCCTTCATTTTTAGTATCTGTCCTAGGTAGATTTACTTTAAAAACAATCACAAAAGCAATCTTATCTATTTCTGCAAGGAAATGAAATGGAACATTATATTTAAGTCTTATTCATAGATCCATATACACATTCCAATTATTTTTTTAGTCTTACAGAAATAGTCTTATAACCATTAACTTTCTAAAGGGTTGTGTTGAAATGATAGGATGGCAAATGACCAGGTAACGTCTGAATTATAATGATTGGATAACAAGTTATTCAATTTGGAAAGAAGTTGAACTAGATCATTCTCCTTGTTTGGCAAATGGTATCATGGAACTACTATTATGGGCAGATAAGTTAGAAGCTTTCACAAAACGACTTTCAATATAATGATTTTATAATGCATTTCCAAAAAAAAGAGATTGCTTACTATCACACAATTCTTTTATAGGCAAAATTACACATGCAATCAACACAGGAATTTATGACAAAAAGTTATCAAAGTAGTAGAAGCCCAATACATCTAGGTCTGCTCACCTCTGCTATTGTCATCACTGGGTATACAACACTACCCATAGTCCCCACCTTCACCTCACTAGAGTGCAAAGAGTGCTGGAAGTTAAAGGCACCTATTTAGGGACCCTTGGGAGAAGTTGATTTAATTTGGAAAAAACATATTTGAGATCCTTTTACATTATAGGTTTAGCAATCATATACACTCACCGTTCAATCTTCATTTCTAAGAGATAATCTAGCAGAAATTTTATTTCATGTTCTTTTGATTTTTCCAACCTGAGGACATTTCTGCTTACCCAAGAAAGAGAAAGAACTGAAAAATACCTTATTATCTAAATGTTGGCAGAGCTCTACATGATTTGATTTCATTGGCAT